AAGTCTCTGGCTCAAAAGCCCAACCGTAATGCAGCGATTATTGACGTAAGACCGTCAGAGCAGCCCACATTTTTAGGGAGCGGCTCGTGAAACTTCTCAACCCCCAACCTTAGGATCAGGAGATTGTTAGTATGACCTCTAACCACTGACCAACCCGGTCTGTCAGGCCCTATGAGGGTCACACGTACATCGTTCGGTATAGGTCAGTGTGTTATGGAAGTGCTGACGGTCACACCATGACACAGTCCAGTTTCTTCGTAGGTCGTCAAAACAGATGAAGCCTGGCGCTACCCCTCATAGTTCGGACCATACGTGGGGAATCATCGGGAATCACTGTGTTGCTTGCAAGTTGGAGGACGTACATCCAGTAAGCTACACCAGGGATCGAGCACATCACTAGCGACCAGCACCTATACAAGCATTTCGATCGAACCAGCAAGATGAAGCAAAATACCTTCTTTTGTAAACAACCGTCGCACGGAAGAACGCAGCAGACGCTCTGCTAAAACATCACTTGTCCGGATCTGCCAAATCTGCTGTGATTAACACCACCACTACCCCATTCCAAATGGAAACGGAGTCAACCATGTCATCTCACCGGTTTCAGATGGGCGAAATTCTAAAGCTCCATGGGATTGACATTGGTCCTTTTCTTCTTCAGTCATCCATTGTAGGATGAATGTTTAACCAGTACTAAAACTTTCTCAGCACATCTTATGCTCCGACCCAGTGTATGAGATTTGCAGAGTATCCGACCCGGTGGACTGCAGATCGATCACTGTCTCCATGTCTTTAAATTGGCAGCAACATCTGGGAAAGAATCTCAAAAAGGTGAGGTTTATCGCTCCGTTTGTTCGATCTGATTACTATCCCATAAACTAGCTGTTACGAGAGTCGAGTAGTTCCAGGACGAGATTAGAAAGGACAAAGAATGGAAAGACGTAATGTACGCTTTAATCGTCTAATAACGGTAGTACATGAGCTGAAAATCTACAGTGAGAATTACGAGTTAATGGGTTATGCAAAGGTATGGTTTATATAGTCATGACACTAGCTCTCAGCGTGCCGAGGACGGTCTTTATGGCGCTCTGGGTACTCTTTCTCAACGGGCTTATCTACTGAGAAGTTTGTGAACCCAAGGATTAAACCAGCCCCGTCAAACCAGTTTCTTCGATGTCTGTCGGCTGATTACATGTCGTGTGTCAACAACGAATGGACGCAGATATCCAAAGCGCTACGCGACGCCGGAACAATACGATACGATCCAGCTAACCTATTCTAAGTCCTGCATCACTGATAGGGCCGTGGTTTTTCGGGAGACGGCGACAGATTCTTTCTGGTCGCAACCGCAACCCATTTCAATACATAATCCAACGCCAGGCGAATCTGAGTCTGTTCCTGATTGACCCGAAAGGGTGGACAAATGAAAGAGGCGAAACATGCTGGAAATGTCCACAGGTTGTTCCATCCGGTCTGTTCGAGGGGTCCTTGGAAGCCTTTTGTCAGCGAAGTCATTGAGGAACAAAATAGCTGTCTGATATCCAGCTGTCATGACTACACAAACCACACTTGTGATGTGTCATTAACTAGTAATTCTCACGCCATATTTTCAGCCGTGTACTGCCGTTATTAGATGATTAAAGATTATGTTCCGCCCTTCCTGCTTTTGACCTCGAACCTCGTCTAATAAAGAAGTGGATCATATTCTCCGACCTACGCTTTTCGATGCTGATCCTCATTCACCAGGTGCCACGAAACAATGAACTCATTGGTTCCGTATCTTCAAAGCCTAAATTATTTCAATCAAGCCTGGTGTGCGTGGTGCAAGACTGGGACAGCTCTCGTGAAGTGATTGTTACTGCCTAGCCCGAGGAATGTTTCAAAGACGTTAGGATGTGTATCTAAGCTGTCACGGACCGATTCATTTATGCACCTCAAGCCGCTCGGGACGAGGTCAAACGTTCTGCACATCACTCTGGTTATCTGGTTATCCTGACGTAATTGCTAGTGGTATCCACTGTGACGAAGTTGCGCTCAGCTTTAGGGCTGAAATCGCTTAAGTGGACTGGGTCCGAGCAAACGGTTGTCCTTGGGTTGTGCTATTGTCTGGCTCAATTTAAGTCGATGCATGTTGGTGCGGTAAACGGTGTTTGTCGTATCCGGCTGAAATCGCTTAAGTGGACTGGGTCCGAGCAAACGGTTGTCCTTGGGTTGTGCTATTGTCTGGCTCAATTTAAGTCGATGCATGTTGGTGCGGTAAACGGTGTTTATTTGTCGTATCCGCATCCACCCTGACGGTCTGCAGTTCCGAGGGTGAGAAGGGCGGGTACCCAAGGTGAATGAGTACTCCTGGAATTGCAGGTGACAACAATCACTTTAGTTCAGTCAACCGGCCAAATGAAAGTGTCGGCGAGACATTGCAGGTGACAACAATCACTTTAGTTCAATCAACCGGCCAAATATGCGGAAAAGACGTAACTCACAAGATCGTTGCCCTAAGTGATGGGTTGAACATTTCAAACAACATTTTAGCTGGTCCTCTTGAACACAGAAACTGGAAGAACTCAGCGAACCTGAATAGGACGTCGACACCGGTCCGTCTTGAGCAACAGAAGTCCAGCGTGATTCATCGTTCCCTCAAGACGACGAGACACCTGGCCCGGATGATCTGCATCCCGCACTGTTCGAATAAGGTGGTGAGGTTCTGGTGAACAGTTTGACGATCATACTGCAGAAAATTGAGAAAAGAAACAGAATACCAATAGGAAAGGACAGTTCGACCATCATCCAAGTCTTCAGAAAGGGCGAAGGAACTTCACATGAATATCACTGTGGCGTCCGCCTTTTAGCCGCGGCATCCAAGGCGCTCTCTGACAATATTTTGCTCAGGTTGATCGGTTTTCATGGGAACCAATTTGGCCGAGGATGTACCGACCATATCTTTACCCTGAGACAAATTCTTGTGCAGCGCCACTCTTTTCAACATCCCACGTTGGTCAATTTCTTGACCTGAAAGTCATCGACTCTGTCGATCATAAAAAACTAGCGGTGTCTAGCAATCCAACTTTTCATTCGCTGTGAGAATATTGCAAATTCCTGTGTACAGGTGCAAGTATATGGCAATCTTTTGCCTGGGTTCACCATGTTCAGTGGTCTAAGACATGACTGATCTCGCGCGTCTTCCATCCTCAACTTTGTTACTGATGTGCCTCTTGAAATCTCTCTACCTGCTTGTGAAACCGCGGGGGTCGAAATGCTTCCGGGATGCTCACTCAGAGACACTGGGTATGAAGACGATATTGCTTCCCTCGATTAAGCTCCCTCAAAGGTGCAGACGATTCTAAATAACTTTATTAATTATGCTGCACGGTTTGGCGTGTGCTTCACACCTGCGCAGTGTTGTGTCGCTACAAGACTGGGTTGGATCAAACTCAAACCTCATGCTTGCAGCCGAGCTAATTCATCACTCCGATGGATTCTCCTCAGAAGACGAGCGACAGCTTTGCAACGATATTCGGTCTAACCTTCATGTGACTGCCAACATAAGCCTTTTTTCCTGGCTTCACCGAAGGAATACAGTGAAATCCCACGAATTCGCCTCATTCAGACTGACCACATTCAGCATATGTACCATAAGGCAGATCAAGTATCAGGGTGCTATTTTCACGTGTCCGATGCAATATCTCTGATGGAGGCAGCACCTTATTTTGGTAAGTCTCATACCAGACCAACCGCTCTCATACTCGGTGGAGCATTGCATAGAGGTCCGGCAATGAGCCTCGCAACACTGCAGCCCGAGCGTTGGAATATGAACAATGGCTAGTCCCCTGAAAATTGATGCTAGTCTGACGGTATGCCATCGTCCACACACTCCCCCTCTGGTAGGCCTTTTCACTGTACAACAAGCGATTCACAGAGGTGGGCTAGCCCCATGATCAGGGACTCGTCGTAAGCGAAGATGCAAAACAGTATGTAGAAAATGTCGGCGTGGATTTCAGAGGACCCTATTAAGTGGATTTGTGAAGTTTCGGGACTTATGTAAAGAGGGTGATAAAAATGGCGGCAGGATGTTCCCAGGTGAAGTCATGTGGGCTAATATAGGGTAAGTGTAGTCAGTTTGGTAGCACACTGTGGTAACTTTAAACATTCCATCGCGCGTTTTCTTTCCACCCTTATAATTTTATTTTAGGATTTGGAGGCAAGGCTGACACCAGCTCGTCAGGGTAATTATGTTGAAACCGGGAAAGGTTGGAGGTTGTTGTTAATGGCTCTGCATGAAGCCAAGAGAGAAGTGGGTGGGCATGAAAATCACACTTTAGAGCATTATTAGGACATCAGATGAGATGCTCAACGGGAGGCAGCGTATTTGTGAAAGCGAAAAACCTAACTCTACGGACGCACAAGTTTGACATGAGCAGACTAAGGGAGGTCGTCAGAAACTTGTAAACCCAGGAATACCGTCTGAAGAAGACTTAGACGTCCGAGGAAGTGTGGCGAAACGAGAGGGGAACCTAAACGGATTTGGAAGGGATAAGTGTCGCAGGAGTGGCGACACCCTACTAACGGCTCGAGAATCTCGCTGATATGCTGCGTTTGCGCAACCAATCGCACAATCGCAGATACTTATTCAAGGTTACTTTTGTACGATGCTATGGATTTCATTTTGTACCTTGGATTATCCTTCACAGCCTACATACCTCATTTCATTATTTCCCCTTGAACATGGCCAGAGGTTGAAGGAACAGAAGTAGATCCGCGATTATGGTAGTATAACACGTCATATCCTGCAGGATCTATTTTCTAGGTTGTTAGTCTAGAAACACAGCGGAAGAGTCTCTTCTTTGACATTGACTAGGCAAACGAGTAGGACCTTTGAACATCAGTTACAGCAGTTTCTTATGCAGTTCGCACAAGTCAATTCAGACGTTGGTCGTATTCCCGAACTAGTTCAGGTTGATTTTCGGACTGCTGTATCTCGTTTCAGATTGTCTGTTCACAACCAGAAACCTTCATTCCTATCTAAGTGCACTCTACTGACTTACCTTGTGCGATGGGGAGGGCGAAGAACGCTAAAAAAGTCATTCGTCTACAGCTCTTTGACCGCTGTTCAGGTGGTATTTTCAACCTGCGATTTGATTCGGAGATACTAGAATCTTTTTACTCAGAATGTTCTTTACCACGAGCTGTTGGTCGTTTTCGGTTTGGAACTGCGTTTATGACTCTTGGATGTCTTGTGTGGCTGCTCTATTCGGCAGTGATGAGGTTCCCTCGATGGGAGTGCTATATCGGAGGGCTGCTGTGTGGCATTCTGCTCTCCGCTTCCTGCTTTGGAATCAGCTTTGTTAAGGCTTTCTTCAAAAGGCACTTTTTGTGGATAAGCGCCATCTACTCATGCCTGTGTAGCTTGCTGGCGCTGTTACCATTTACGCTGCGTTCGCCTCCGCTATCGCTGGCGTTCAATCTGAGTATTGCAACTCAGTTGATTGTCCTTCTTTACACCATGATACCTCTGCGTCTGTGGCAACTACTTCTGGTCTGTGGTCCTCTCAGCCTGATTCAAATCATACTGGCCAGCGCACGCTACGGAAGTATCGGTGCGTCGGTGATTTTTCTTCACATCGTGGCTCATGTTTATGTACACACAATCGGACTGATCCTCCACCTGATGTCCCAGGTACGTTTCCCACCTCAGTTGTGATGGTTTCTACAACCAGCTCAAATATGTGTCAAGCAGTTTTAGCGCTTGACTAAGGAATACAATTTCTAAACTGAAGTCAAGTCAATGTAGCGGAAGGTCCTTCCTAAAATCACGCTTTTGGTTTGGGTTGTCTAACATATAAAGCTTATGGTTCAGGTGGTATGCCCAGGGACAGAAAGATGCGCCTGGAGTGACCTAAACTGATAAGCTGGTTTCATCTGCAAGATAATATCCAGCAAAAATAGGCTCACAGAAACTTTGCTATTCCCTTCTAACATTTAAGCCAACTATTTAGCCGGTACTTCCAGTAGTTTTCTATTTAGCCGTGTCTTGTTGACCACTGTTTTCTTCAGGAGGTTGAGGACGGTGCTCTATAATGACTCGGTATGCCCATTTGGATCGGTGCACTATTTCTCAGCAGTAATATTAAGACGACCCATAGATTTACTCAGAAGACATACTTTCAATATACCACTAGTTTAGTGACTTTTGGTCTTTGGTCACCAGAGGTATATTTATCAGTGAATGTTCTTAATGTGCTCGCCATGGCAATACGATCCTCGAACCTACAACTTGAAACATAATATCAAAAATTCCAAATTATGATTCTCCTTTTACAGCCATAATATCAAAAATTCCAAATTATGATTCACTGTGGGCAACCTTCTCCTTTTACAGCCTTCTTGACGTTTTGGTAGCAATTTTCGAGCCAAGTTTCGGTACATTTAGGTGTCTGATCTCTATTTTGACAAGCTCCATGTTAGCTAGCATGCATTCTATACACCTAAATTCCTCGCTCCTCTAAATCTGTTTTATTAGGTTTGGCGTCGTTCAACCTTTCTTCATCTGGGATACAACGCTTTGATGAGGAAAGAGCTTAAAAAAGAGCAAGAATTGAGGGATGATATGATCAGGTCACTAATGCCGAGTGAAGTTGCACAAGAGGTCATGAGAGACGTCGGCAAAGACGATGATGCAGATGAAGGCGACGAAGACATGGACGGCGAGAACAGGGGATCGCGGAAGAAGAGTCGATCCAGGAGGAACCCGAAAAGGAAAACACAGACGGCCGAAGAATCTGAAGATGACATGGTCATGGGAGCTATGGGCTTTTCTGACGAGTTCGAAGATGATGAGGATGGGCTGAACACAAAGAAGGCCAGCACCGTTAGTGCTACAGACTATGATGGACAAGGTTGGTACCTCACCCCCTGTGTATTTTGCATTGTCATGTAGTCACGTTACGATTCACACCAAAACCTCTCAGTTCCTAACCTATGAGACATGAATAGCGAAGACCATACATACCTTTTATACCTCAAGATTAGGCTACTCCTTCCACACCCTAAACCGAACGGTTCGATGACAACCGAAAATTGAAACTCGATGTCTTACCATGTACCCCAAACTGGATAGTCATCTCCCTGATACTCTACTCAAATATCATGTGGTGCATTGAGAATTGACTATTAATCAGTAGTAGGTTATATCTTAAGACTTCTATAACACTGTAACCGACTACAATATCTTCCCCATCCCCAATGCGATTTAGTCTGTTTGTTTGATTAAGTCGCGATGGAAAAGGCTATGTTATGCTTATCATCCTACTCCCCCAGTTTTGCTCTCCCATTCTATTGTTTAATTCAAAGCACCAAAACAGGAAGCAGTCTGTCTCACAAAGCTAAAAATGATCGTTTATTCGAAAAAAATCGTTCAACCGTAACACCTTTCGGGTGCCTAGCTGCCATACCGCCCGAAGGAAGCACGAGGGCTGTGATACTGCCAGGTTGCCCAAGCCTAGACAGGAGAAGTCGAGATGCAGAGGTCGGGTTCGAACCACAGACCTTCCGGTCAGTAAATTCGTGATCTAACCATCTAGCTCTAGCCATCTCGCCCCATGATGGTTTGTCACGATCATTACACTCGTGGAAAGGTTTCTTTCACCTGCTATCCACGTGGCACTAACCCAAACTTGTATCACAAGGGCCACATCTAGGTAAACATCCATCTTTTAGCCTGTGCTAAACCAACCACTCAGATGACTGTAACGGATTTATTCGAGCAACCTTACACCTTAGGATTTATAACTAACTATCGAAGAATATGTCGCGCACAAAAAGCTGGGGTAGTCTGATCATGAACTGCGCTTACCGAAACATCATTTGCCGAAAATGGTGCTGCTTTCAGTGACAAAATTAGATTGGCGCAAGCAAAGAAGTGGTCAACCTTTGACCTGTCATTTGGGCATGCAAGCGATTAAGAAAATTCCACAGTAATGTCGGTACTACCTTCCTTCTAGGATGTGATTCGCCTGATCCCGGCGTGCATTTTTGGAGATGCTACAAGATATAGCTTCTAATCAGTGTGAATGGCGTTGTTGTTTTCCGTTTCCATCCAGATTGTCTGATCGAGTGTCTGGAGTTTAGGCGCCTCGGAATGATTGTTATGAGATAGCACTGAGTCGTTTTCCTATCCACGCTTGTTCTTTCAGTATAAGGCTTTCAAATAAATTGTGATTGCAAGCGGCGAAGCACCAGTGTTGTACTGTCGATGATGATATTGGTGAAGATTATCTAGCGAACGGCGGAAAGATATTGTAGCAACATCGCATAAATACGGCCTCGTTCGTCCCAGCCCTCTGGTAATTTCATTTTACACTGTTTTACACTTTTCTAATGTGTATCAACCGAATAGTTATTGATCATTTTCGTTCCTACGTGCTCTTATATCAGTTGCTGGTGATGTGGAAGATGCGCCATCAGGATCTCCGCAGGCCAGTCTCGTACCAAAATCGACGGCTCCTCCACGTGCCGTCACATTCCGCAAGTTCCACGTTAGCCAGCTGGAGAACGTCAGTGTTTTGTTCGCGGACATTGTGGGGTTCACAAAAATGAGCTCAAATAAATCAGCTTCACACTTAGTCTATTTGTTAAACGATTTATTTGGCAGGTGAGTCCATCCTGACTGTTTAGCTGGACAATATGACTATTTATCACTGTGTTGGCCGCAAACAGAAAACTCAGTCACAGTTCCTTTAACTCGTTTGCACTGCATTTTGATTTATCTTAGCCCTGCAGTCCGTTTGACGTAAATTCCGTCTGGTTTCACCGTGACCTTACACAAATCGTTCGCAAGCTTACCAGGACAGCTTGTTTGCATTGTGTTCTGTGGTGGTGGTAATAGATTCGTAGGCAAGTGCACTCTATGAACCTTTAATTGACAGTTAAATCGTTCAACTCCGATTGCGCACAGTATTCGGGTTATTAGCAAGTTTGTGTAAACCGTTTTAGCAGCTACTTTTAATCAAGATTTTTAACTGGCATGAGGATTTTTCGTCGGGCAGATCGTTGCATGCGCGTTAGTGATATCTATACCTTGTTACAGTGTGCGAAATGCGGATAGATCCATCGATTGTTTCTCTTACTTTGTTGAACGTAATCACGCGTTTTTTCTATGTATTTTATGCACCCTTGCGTCTACGTCAATAAACATTTTTCTTACATATGGTTCCTTTAGCAGAGTATTTGGAAGTGTAGTAACTAACTACAAACAGATTGGCGTGCAATGAATTTGTCCGGGTGAACGTTTTCAACTTGAAGATTAGCAGATTGCATGACCGTGTTACAATTCAGAATATCACTATACGTAAACCAATGACCAATTGCGCCCTTTTTTGGCGAAATGTTGAACGTTCACTCGGCAAAGAGAGTGGTCATCTTTTATCTGTCTGCTCTGGCAATGCGCAAATCCATCAGGCACGGGTTCACCTCACACAGTGGTTGAATTCGATGCAAGACAGCACGCATCGATGAGTCGTTGATAAGAAGAAACTCGTAGCTCTACAGACGCACTGCAATCCAGTGTGATTCATTTCTTGCACCCAATTACCACAACGGATAACATCGGGAACCGCCTTTTCAACGGATTATGCTGAAATTTCCAGATAGATGCCTTTAAATTGATTTCTGACCCTGTTGTTGAATGGATAGAGATGTAAGAGTTATTTTTTGCATCTCTAACTATGTCGATGCGCGGACTCGTCGTCTAGCAGAGCAACAGGAGGTTACACTCCTTGGGACGAAATTGTACGACTACCTATGTTTTGAAACAATATTCTGATTTCGTTGGTTGATACTGGTCACTAGGTAACAAATTCCTTCAGAAATAAGGATTATTATTCTCGTTCGTCACTGAAGTCTCATAATTCCGCGCGGAGGATTTCATTTGGTTGAGATACACATTCAACTTACTTTACGTTGACTGTTTACTATGTGGTGTTAACTATGTACTTCCTTCGGGTGGCATGGCAGCAAGGCGCCGAAAGGGTGTTACTGCTGAACAGTTATTATGCTTATTATTATGTGGCGTTAAACTGGCCCCATCGATACCTCTTACTTGTTCTGCTTGCGCACGCTGACGAAGAGTAATATTTCGAATATTGCCAACCCGTTTTGCTTTCAGTGACGCAGGTCGTAGACAGGCTGTGTTCGGAAAACCACTGTCGAATGCATCAGTGCTGATTCAGCTGATTGGTTTACTGTCTCAATCAAAATAAGGATGCTAAACCGGCTTTGGGTTGAGAATCTTGCCAGTGGTATTGGTATGTGGACCACAAAGAAAATTTTAATACCATCAGGATCCGTATTGTTAGATAAGATAGGCTAGCGGACTGATGTATGCGCATAATCTGTGAACTGTCTAGTTCGTTTCTTTACTACGTACTCTGCACAATTGGCGGAACATGGAGTCGATTGAACAGACGTGTTGCATACAATTTTGAAGTGTCCCAGTTCGTGGGTTGTTCTTTAGTTGTGGAACGAATATTTTCGCGTCGGTGATCGAAATTCGTTATCTTGCGAATGAACGGGACCACGCGTCAATTGTATTGTTCACGTACAGAACGAGATTGGTTAGTTTGGGAATTGGGACATTCGTCATTAGATCTTCAAACGGACGTCTTTTTCGCAACATACTCATTCTGGACCACTGAACAACTACTATCTACGTGAAAGACCCGACCACTCAGACTGTGGGCCGATCCGGGGTACGTACTGTTGCTCGCCACCAGTGCTCCGTTCATTATGATTGTCCGTTTTGGACTGAATGCAGAGTTAATCGAGTTGGCCAGTTGCATTTAACTGGGACTCGCTGTATCTTTTTGAAATGAATTATCTGAACTTAGAGAGGCACAGATTTCCCTCAGTTACAGCAAAGTTCCATGCATTTCTCCTGCAGAACAATCATCACATAAATATTTTTTGACTGAAATATACTGCACGGACTGGATTAATTGCATTTTTGCATGCATTTATCCATGCATAGTAAAATCACGCCAACATATCAGTTGTGTATTGTTCGACCAATCCTTGTGCGATTTCTTATTGTTTTGAGTACAAATCAACTTCTAATTCATTCGGCGTGGTTTCACAGAGAGCTAAACGATCCTCTTGACTGGCTACCATCTTTCACGGCTGCGGCGGGGAAACGGAGCCGTGCAGTATTGTGGCATCGATTGAGCAGTCATGGTTTCAGAGTTTGTTCTCAGTCATAGACAACAAAATTCTATTGCTCACTAATTTGCTTCTCAGTCGTCTACTACCACTTTGGACTCAAAGCTAGTGTGAGCAATGGATGGATGTGCGAAAGTGTCAAAATATATTCACTGAGAACCACTTTGAACCAGTGGGTTTTTTTCGAAAACGTGTAAGGGAATTGTCCCCGAGGGACTTGAATATTTTGGTCTGTTGGTAGTGCAATTTTTTCACACAACTGTCATACCACAGTCGTCCTCTGAGTTTCGATGGGAATTCCTTACCTCTTGTTCTTAGCTCCATCTGATTGGTTTATAAGTCCTTTGCATACAATTCACGTCGGACGTTTTTGGGTGCGACAGTTTGCAGTCGTTTGCTGCCTTTATTGCTATACGTTCTTTTTGCTTTGGCAGTTAAATTTCATTTGTTCGGCTGTAAACCGTGTACCAGGGATATATCGGTTCCAGGTGCGATAGTTTTATTCGTGGAGGAGTAAGAGAACGCGGAAACGTTAGCTACCTACTAAAGACGACATTTTATTCGGTTCATTGATTTCTAGTGTACTGGGCAGGTGCGCATCTAATGCGATAGTTTCTTTGCGGGAGTACTGCCGCCTGCAAAGCAGAGCCGTGTTTCTCATTGTTACAGGATTCTCACCAGCAGAGGCGGATGTTCTAAAGTTGGCTAAGTTTTCTGGCCATGGATTTCGTATTTCGCTGCTAGATCAGAGGTTGCCTGTCACTCAAACATGGCCGAGCAGTCTTCGACATTCACCAAGAGAGTACTCAACGTAGTCGGCATGTGATTAGCATATATCGAGGAACTTTGTGACATATTCCAGCTTCGACGTTCCCTTTAGCCTCGGGCAACTTTTCCGGGACACCGGGGTCAAACGTCTGTACACGGAGACTAAATTTATGATCTATAAAGCGGTGGTGAAAACATTTCGGCGCCACAAGTTCTGTTCTGGTGAATACGAGGAATGTTTTCATTAGCCAAGTGAATACATTTCGGCTTTGATCTACTGGTTTGACTTTTTGCAGTTTGAAGTAGCACTCTCCATTTTGAAAGTCTGACGCTTCTGTTGCCGGATTGTCTAGGTTACTTGAAATGGTTGGTAGTTCCGAAAAAGTGAGTGGTCGAAGAAGAGCGATGTCGTAGGAGCGGATGCTTTGGGTGTAATATGGTCCTCGGGGCAACACTTGCCCACCAGTTTTTTGTATCAATAACTCAAATGATTAAACTGTTTGCAGTCCTACTTATCGACTGGACTGAGTACAGTCATCGCTATTCGTCCAGTAGTTTGTTGGGCTTGACAAATTCGCCGCGAACTTTGTGAAATTGATGTATAGTTTTCCTCTCAAGTTCAAACATTAGAATAGCAATTATTTCGTTGTTGTTCTCCCATTACTCCAGCAAATTCATCCATCTCTGTCAGATCTACGCACCGAAAAAAACACTATATGATCTATCTGAGCAAAATGTGTTCAGCTATTCATTCTATATAAGGGATGAACTGGCTATAAACCTAGACTAGTCGGATTGCGGAAATAGGTCGACCCGATTCAAAATCTGTTTACTCCTACTTATTAGGTGAATCGTCTCGACATTCTGCACTGTCAAGCAGAATCCAAGACGCTAGATGGATTACACAGAGGTGGTCGCTTAAGCTTACGCAGGTCATAAGTTTAAAGGGAAGGCTGCTGTGGGAAGGCAACCGTGACACCCAGCATAGTGTGTGTTGTAGATAATTGGATTCTTTGTAGATAACAGGGCAGTGACAAACAGCGGATACGCGGTTTGTTTGGATTGGCTCTGAAAACGTCAGTTCAGATGAAGCACGAAAACGAACTTACGTTCAGTAATGGTAGATTTTGACAATTTAGAAGGCTGTTGAGGGCAGTGATAAGGAGTTAAAATAGTACTCCTTTTACGTGAAGTCCAATGATTGGGTTGATACTTAAGGTGGAGCCTACCAATCAGCTGATGCGCACGTTCACGTGACCAGTCAGTTCATTCCAGCAACGTTGTTTCTACGCACGTTTCTCGATACTTGTTCGTGATGGGGAAAATAAATACGTTCATTCTTCAAACTCCTGAAGACAAAGGTGTTGGCGGTTGATTTAAATGGGACATGAAGCCAAATTTTCCTAAAATAGATCCTCAGGTTTCCTCCCGGAAAGATGGTGAGCGGTGCTGTATCCTTTCTGAGTGCCAGTGAGTCTCATTGCTGATCACCTGGTTTTGCTTGGACGGTTTGGTCTTGAACAACTGGCCTGGAGGTCAAAGTTGGAATTTTACCAGACATTCGAACTGCTGATGATTTCCAACGAGGATGAAATCGCTATGGAGTCTTCTCGGTTTTTTGATATAGATTGACTTCACTTACAGGATTAAATCTTCATTGAAAACTGGTTATTCCGTAAACCGAGTTTGAACGAATTCATCCCACGGGGACAGTGACTCTAAGATTTTACAGCCAACCTAAAGCGAACAAGGATTTTTTCCACTGCAATCCATTCCACTCCTAGTGAAGTTATGAGCTGCCAGATTTGAACGAAACTGGTGAGAACTCACGGGGAAGTCTTCACGACATTTCATTTTCCTATTATCCTCAGTCATATAGACATAAGGAACCATAAACTCTTTTTTCTTCATGTTGCCTCGATGATCCTCACCGGCGGCGAAAAAGATGTTGGCATGCCAGATGAAATGTCTCGTAGGAACTTCTCACTGCATACGTCCAATTTCGGTTCAATATTCAAGTATACTGACAGAAGGATGATGCCGCAACGAACTCCTCGCACGACTCACTCTTAGCTGACTTGTTATCGAGCGAGTTATGAACTTCACACTCCCTGGCTGCTTGCATGTATGACATCTTATGTGTTATGCATGCTGTTACCTATATCAGCTACGTCCCAACAGTATATTTTTCAATACTTCAGACACGCATTTCTTCCAGTCACGAGTCACAGTGGAGCAGACTCGTCGGCATCATGGAGATGGAGAAACAGATCACGCTTCTAGCTGGCGGTGGTGCAAAGGAAAGAGAAATGAAACCCTTGGGCACTACAAACCGGTCGAACTATGAGGTATCTGTCGGAGGTATCTGATCGGATGGAGTACATTGTGACACAATAGACCTACTTCTACTGTGATCACTACTCCGTTCACTTCAACCACAACGTGCATTTCGAGTTGTCCAACGGTTAATATTGCTCGGAGCCCGAGGCGATCTGGATTAGGATCCGTAATCGTGATCTGTGCACACAGTGGTTTGTGGGAGCAGTTAACCTGTCATCGGTGTCAGTAGACTGATTGCATTACATGACCACAAATATGAAACTCGCGATTATCTCAATGCTTGTATTCACCTTACTGCTATTTGAGCAGTCATTATATCCTGACCCAACTATTCTGCCTCTTGACTTCCCCTGTCTAGGCATGCACAACCTGGCAATATCCCAACCCTCGTTCTTTCTTTGGGTTGCGTGACAGCTGGGCACTGAAAGGGTGTTACAGCTGAACGATCGTCTGTTTATCAGTTATTCTGATTAGTCTACATAAAGAGGGAATGCACCGGATCCGAGTTTCACTCCCATTACAGCTCATCAGCAGTTCAATGCCTTGTTCGTGCCGAGATTTCGACTCCCGGCTTATGACCTACAACATGAGCCTGTTACCATTATTCCATCACTGCACGCTTGTTCCTCGTTCAACGGATTGGGCGAACAAATCACATCACTCAATCGGGAACATCTTCTGTTCATTAAGTTGCGTGCAGTGTTCGTTGCTGGAGTAATGATAACACGTTTGCCTGACACGTCAGATGTCCGGGATTCAAGTCCTAGCTAGATCAAAGATGTTCACTGCTGATGAGCTGTAATAAGAGTGGCCGAAGTTCAGTGCCAGAGCGGGAAGTGGACTGTTCCAGCAAGATTACTGTGATTGTAAGTCATACAAAGTTGGCTTTTGCAGTCATCATTGTGAACCAAGTTTTCCACTAACGCGGCCTTGAGTTCAGCTCAGTGACTACGTTGTTACATGGCCACAAAGAAGACCACAACAAGGAAGGGGGCATTCCAAATCAGTAAGATAGTTGTACGCGCATAGAAACCAATGACACAATTATGATAGCACTGGCGACACTCCAGCTGCCACATGCTTTCTCTTCAGTGTTCTTAATACGCCGTCTGCCCATAAATCCGTAAGTGTTACTTTGACAGCTGCGAAGAGCAAGTGAAATCTCAACATCTCATGTTAATGGTTTGACGGATTCGGGTGACCATATTCTGAAAACCTCGTGCTAACTTCTGCTGGCTGACCGTACCGTTGAGAAGAATCAGTGACTCGATTTAAGACTATCATGTCACTTTTTCTCCCGCCTCTATCTCTCATAAGTTTTACTCGCAGGTGCCTGGTGCTCATTCCATTGCCTGAATTGCTAACCACCACAGTTTTTGATTTGAATGTGTTTTTTCGTTTTCAGGTTTCACTTTATACATGTTCCGTCACTCGCCGGCTGCTATTCGCCTGCTTTCTATGTGACTGATCACGCCTTTATGTGGGAACACGATCATTTTCTCCAAGCAGCTATGATTTTTGCCAACACTGTGTCGATTTTTTTGCACGCGATAGATGCAACGTGCTCGTGTTTCCCTGAGAAAAGTCCGAACTCTTTATTGTTTCAGGTTCGATCGTCTGTGTGAAGTTACAGGATGTGAAAAAATCGCCACCCTTGGCGACTGCTACTACTGTGTGGCCGGATGTCCCAACCCTGTAGACGACCACGCTGAGCGAGCGGTTGAGATGGGACGTGCTATGTGTTTAGCCATCCAACAGTTTGACGAGGACCACAAAGAATCGGTAGGTTTAGCTAGTATATTTGTGCCATGCATGTAAGCGAGTGTTTCAAAAGTCATTATTCTTAGGACCACAGTTAAAACATACTCAACGATGTGGTTCGCGTCATCTATGACTGGAGTGTTCGGGACTGTCGTTATTATCAAATGTGGAACTTGATGGATGGAGAGTAAAAAAATATTTGGCTTCACGATACACCTGGTTCTGACAGTTCTCGTCGAAGCCATATGTAACAGATCAGGAATCGAATATCCGATTAAAATCCTTCTGTTTCCGACTTGCTTTTTTGCTTTGGCAACCTGACCTCATCTCAATCGTTGTTCCTGTTGTTCACTGGTCGCGTCAAGGGGAAGCTACGGTTTAGTGATCTGATCTTAGTCATCCAGTCATCTTGCTCTGATTGGGAACCAGCGGGTGTCCCTTTGCGTAAGAATGAGTACCGTAATACACCACATACAGACAGACATTTCCACTTTTCTGCGCAGAAAAAGGTCTCTTAAAGGCCGGATTTTTGTTCTTCTCGTCCGAAGCCATAGATTCGAGCCGTGGGCGCCTTTGTAAGTGTGATCCACTGTTGATTCTGATTCAGGGTGCTCCTTAGAACCAGATGCCCTCCGGTTGGAAATCCTGTTCATGAATTCAATAATTTCGATAGTGAATGAGACGCCGTCACACAGATGCTAGATGTTGCCCTGGTGTGACGGCTTTTGTGCTTTAGTGACCCACTAAGGTTTACTGAAGAGTCTTTGTGTGAAAATCGCAGTCTCCCATATTATTTTGGCTATTTGTTAGAGGTTTTCCCTTCTAGTCGTTCTTTTGGCCTTCCCGGTTCGCGATTGGGACGTGTGTGGTGACTTAGTTTCAAAAATGTGGGCTCCTGTGGCAGTCCTACACCAACCCCCGCTGCCTTGAAGCAGAGGTCTTCTTGAGAACGTTAATCACCCTGGTAATATCCCAACCCACGTACAGCTATATGTCCCACACGCCACATCGGCTGGCGCATTATTTTGTCAACCGGGTCACCCTACTTGCCGTATACAGCCGGGTGAGTAGACGAAAACAGATTATTGCTGACACTTCCCTTCTACACGCCTTCCTTCTATCCACATCTTCGTAAGGACCGACAGATCACTCCGCCGCCCACTGCATTTGGCTTCAATGTCTACTCTGAACTCGTTCACCACGACTGTAAACAATCCAGAATCATTATTCGAATGCTAATTTTTTTATGACAGCTTTCAACTTTCGAACTCCGAAACAAGCTGGGCAACAGGAAACTGTTTTATGTACGCTGGATTAGCTTTCTGTCGATGTGTTTTCTTTCTGAAACGAGGATTCAAGTTCAAGTGCGGTTGCTGACAACGCCTTGGACATCTTATTTTGACGAGCTAAGAACTCAGATATTGTCGTGGTTGCCGGGGATGTGAATGTGCAAGCAGGTTGACCGAGCGCCATTGAGCGCTCAGTCGGGTGGTCGTCCTGGTGTGGATCAAGATGCACGGGCAACGGCGAACATATGCTGCAGTTATGTGCTAACCACAACTGTTTCTGTGCATTAGCATCTATTGGAACAACCGAAACTACATCATCACATGGCGTCCTCCGCCTCCAACACATAACGCGTAGCCATTAGCAATAAGTGGTGTGGATCAAGCCTCCAACACACAACGCCTAGCCATTAGCAATAAGTGGTGTGGATCAACTACTGGCTGTCGCTCGTTCTGGGACACCTATGTGGATTCGGATCATTCGATTGTTCACTGCTGTTTTTCGTTGTGCTTTTCAGGAGCACACAAGATGCGCATACCTATTCTGGACATTGTGAAGCTCTCAGAACCTGTGAAGTAAGCCTACCTAACCAACTAATAGAGTCCCTCTCGGACAACGCATTTTCTGATGTTGACTCTTACTGGAGGTTACTGTCCGCAACCCCGCAAGATGTCAGAGCCGCAAACTACATCTGAGCTCTGAATCTCGAACATCGGTCAAAGCTCGGACACATGTTAAAGAGTACGATTCAGCTCAAACAACTTTTGGATGTCAGATGACAAGGAGCATCTGCACGGAAAGCTCAGCGCTTCCAGGAATTTCGAGGAGTGGAGAAATCGATACACTGATACGCTTAAGAAGCCACAAAAGCTGATAGCTGATACGCTCAAGAAGCCGAAAAAGCACTCAGTGAGCAAAACAATGATAAAACAACCTGCTACTCTCTAAAAAGAAAAACACCTGGACCGTTGGTTTAAATGCCTACAAAAACAATTTAACTAGCAACCGCAACCGATTAATCCTATGCCCAACCCGCGACGAAGCCCTGGAAGGTCAACTTCAACCTTCGACGACTTCAGAAATACGCTAATGCCGTTTCTTTCTCATTTGCCTGACGAACTCCCACCTGCTGTGTTTAGGGATAAAGTTGAATTTCTCAGTTGGTGTTTGTTTAACTTATTTGACTATCTGGGTGAATGAGATTGTCCCAGCCAACTGGGGTGAGTCGACGGTAGATATTTTTAAAATGGTGCCTGCACTGGGGAATTAGGTTTGCCCGTGTTGTAACTAGATTCTCTGCGTTGCCCATTTTGCGTTGTCCGAAGAAGGCGCGTGAAGACTGGGCCGCAGAACGACAAACGAAATTCCAGCCAGGGAGTCTGTATGTACTACACCTTCACATTACATTAATTTCTATCACAACGGTATGCGTACTGGCTTATAAGTGTTTCTTGAATTCTAGGATGCCTTCGATTACATCAACTGATTTGTTTTGTTCAGAACGCTTACGCCACAATTTCGTGAGTATCATGTGCTCTTTCGATTCGCATCCTTTTTGGGAACGAGAGTGTATTAGAACTTCTCTAAAAGCCTTTCTATATGTGTTTCTCTAGGACAAGGATAAGCACCTTCTGCATTGACAAGGTGAATTTGCGCTCTAACCACTGAGCCATATCGCACATTTTTTGTCAGTGGTGTCCATGCTGTTAGTTTTTATTCAGATTGTTTGGCTGGCTGTGCAAGCTCCTCGGATGTTTGTGGTAGGTTAGCCATAGGTCTACCTTCCCCATTTTTTCATCCCATTATAAAACTTTATTCAAATAAATTAACATGGCTGTACGACAGTAAAGCGTAAATTTTCTCTTCTGGTGTTACTGTCTACACTGATTCTGCTGTTGATAACGATAATGATGATGTGGATCGGAGGAATGTTCACTCGTTCAGTGGGGAGGGGGCAATAATCATCGTCTACGCAGAGGAGTGACTGCAGCGATGGTTTATTCTGAAGGAAAATCTCGGTTATTGCTTATGGTTTTTTCTACGATGAACATGGGTCGGGATCACCCCTCGTATTGAGGATTCTCTTTGTGTCTTCGTCCGTTTTTCGTTTACTTAAGAACAACAAAAGCAAAAGGAATTAAACATCCTAGGCGGTGTTTGTATTACACATATACAGTGTTAATCAGATTCCTTTGGGTTTCAATGACTTGCTTCGAATGCCCATTATGATTCTAATAAGGGAAACATCCAAGCCACCTTTATACCAATTGAGTGCAAATCAAAGCAAGTGTGTGCACTGTGTCAATTCAAGTGCTCGTGCTAGGTTTCTATGCAGTTTTTATGCATCATTTTCATAAACTTCAGCTTCACTAGGTTGATGTCTAGACCGCACCCGAGGAATTCTTTACTGCTTCTCGTGTGTGGCAGTTGATCTGTTCGCCGAGCTTGGCAGCTGCTTTGCAACTGTGCCCTGCTTCACCAGTTGCTGCTATGCATTTAGTCAACGGTAGATAAGCGACCGGATCCCTTGGGAACCCTGGATGTTGTATCGGCCGTGGTAGCCACCTGCCATTCTGAGTCAACAGTTGGTGAGTAGTCAGTTGACTAATCGTAGGGCAGTTGTCACTCTGTTGCTTCGGAGCTTGAACCGGAAATCCGAATGTGTTCCTCGTCTTTATTTAGGCCATAAAAGTCGTTCTCCCTGTGTGAACATATCTGAACACTGAACGTTCTGGATACCGTATGCTGGCGACAGCATGGAACGTGTCACCCAATGCCGGCCATTCCTATCCGTCGCTGTCCGTATGTCTACGTGTGACATACCCTTTGCATGCATTTTTGACCGTCAATAACCCCTCTTCGCAGGTTTTCAGCCCCGATCTTGTCTGTTTCATGTACATTCCATTTGTCTACAAACCCATCCACCCACACCTAGGTGAATATGCGTGTTGGTGTGCATACCGGGAAAGTAATTTGTGGCTTGGTCGGAACACGTCGGTTCAAGTTTGATGTATGGTCCAATGACGTCACGCTCGCTAACGAAATGGAATCAACGGGACATCCAGGGAAAGTTCACATTTCTGAAGCCACCTATGGGTTTGTGAAGGACATATACGAAGTTTCGGATGGTGAAGCCGTGCCGGGTGAGTAATTGGTCGCTGGTGTCGTGGTCTGTCTGCATTCTGCCACTGCGTGTGTGAACTTATCCCATATCGGCATAATGCCTATTATTCCGCTGTGTGCTGGCCGCAAGCTACCTGATTTAGTGCCGGGTAACTTTCTTGTGTTGAAGCCAGAAACCATCAGAGTGGAAATCACAAGTCGGTCAGTTGACCAACGTGCATTCTCATAAGCCTAATCCAATATGCATGCTCCACGATCGCAACTTTTTTCTGTGTTGTTTCTCTGCGTAAACCCTAATACTGACAACGACAACAATAATGGCAACGAGATCATCCACATCGGATAACCGACAAAACATAGGAATCCAACTGATCACCGATGACTGCTGAATATCGAGGCGTGAAAGGTGAACAGGTAGCCTAGTTTTCAGATCAATGTCAATCAGGCTGTAGTCCAGAGTTAGAGTCACTGTTTTCGACTATTCTCGAATACACTGCTTGATACTGCTTCTTTTTCATTTGTTAAACATTATGGCGACTCACAATTCTGGAGCCTGGCTGTGGGATCTTCAGGGTCTACATCCTGAGCATCTACTTGATGTGAAGCTGTAGTACTCAGTTGGACCAACTTTACTTACTAATTTCTATTATTTATTACTAGATTATTTCCATATTTGCTCCGTTGCGCACGGGACAACGTTCTTCGTAATGACTGGACTCTATGTAACTTGCTTTCGGAAATGCAACTAACAGGATTTTGTGTTTGGTAGTGTGATAGGATTTCGGATTTGTCCACTTAATTGAGATTTCCTCCTGTACGTAAAGCGAATCTATGCCGAAAGGCCGAGAAGCACCGTACTACTGTTTCATCCTTATTGGGACTCATCAGTAGTGGGCTTCTCGTGAATCTCCGGAGAGAACGAACCTGCGATATCCCGGTTGGTCGGGAAGGCTAAATTATCCTATGTGTCGTCCCCCAGTCAACACGAATCCCGTGATTGATGATGGAATGTGGCCATATTCTAAGTGCGAGTTGATCACACTGCTTATCAGCAACCCGTCGCGGAGCGGCCTATCATGAACTACTATTCAGCGATTTGCGGGTTTGAATTTCCCTGGACGCGTGTGAGATGCGCATTTCCGATGATTTCCAACGAAGATAGCCTTTCAGTTTAGATTGACTTCTATTCTTCGTTGACATTATAGGTGTCGCTGTTCCTAATCCTGATCATGGATAGAAGTAAGGACGATTCAGCGAAACTGACCAAATCTATCGGGAACCACTTATCCATTAGCATGCCAAGTCACAGCGAAATGACTAGCAAGAACATTCGTGCTTGCAAAAGCATATATGTGCATTGCAAATTTCAACAAGCTGATAACTTTTCGGCCGTGGTATATCCGAGAGACTTTCAGCTGGAAAGCCGTAGTAATTTCAGGCGACTGAAGCGTACGAGTTTTCAGTGCAACACAGCTGTTTTGCTATTGTCACAGAAAATGAAAAGTATGCTGCTTATTTTACCCGATTTCGTAACTTTTTTGATGTTCCGTGAAAACCATACAGTTGACAGTTTACATTAATCAGTTTTAACGTCCCACCTGTTGGAAAGTGTTCTGTGGCAGGCAGTGGAAATACATGTGCGTTGCCGACACACCTGAGGGAAACAGCGAACATGTGCTGGCGTCTGTGGCTAGCGCCTACCACAACTTATTTTTAAGTGCTCCGAATGATGATAGTGCTTGGTTAAGAACGCATTGCCTAAAAACTCAAGCAAACATCGATAAGCTTATTCACAAAAGACCTTGCGTAGTCTCATCAAACAGTTGCGCACTATGCATATTCTTATTACAGCTGAGGATTGGCCTGTGGAATGATCCGCCAAAAAATACCAGTGGATCGATTAGTACACTTCTGGCTAGGGTTCACACTGTACTGAGGGAAACCTTCGCATCACTACTTGTAGCGCATTCGATTAATATTTGGTCTGACCCACGTGGATGTTTCCCTACTTTGCGCAAGGTCGCACTCTACCCCGCAGGATCATTTCGTTTAACATTTAACATTTAACAGTGGTCTCACAGATCTTTTCAGTTCGGCACAAATCATCTTATCACCACATTTTTTGACAGTACAAAATTACTGAAGCGCTGGTGCTTCATTACCGAAGAGCCATGATTATTCCAGGAAGTCATTTTGGAAAAAATGATAATAAGGGGCTGGAGGTAATGAACCTGGTGCTAACCTAATGCGCGCATTCTAAGAAGCCTACACTGTCGACTGCTCATTATGGAACTGCAACAAGAATACCGTCTGCTTGGTAGTCATATCTTGCACTGTCGTTAGCCAGTGTAAGGGAGAATCCCACGGACCCCTACCGTAAGTCAGGCCTCACCGACTGCATCCAGATTTTTCGTAATCAATTTCATACTCTCCCGCTAGGTTGACCACGTTTAATTGTGCCACGCTGAACCAGGCGGGCCAAAACATTTTTCTCTTCGACAGAAGACTCCCCGACATGTGAAGGCAAGTTGTCTCAACTACTGGTGCTGGATCGCTTCCGTGTAGTTCCCTGCTGCACAACCGAAGACTCGTTTTCTAACTGCCTCATAGCACCAGACTACACGAACTTTGATTCAGATGAGAGGGTTATAGAACTTGATTACGTCTCTGTTCAATTTCTGGAAGAGGCCATGTGTCACAACCATGCAACAAAACAACTCGTACTGTAGTCCTCTGCGATACAGGGATTATGTAGCTTTGTCGCCTTAGGTGTATCAAATTAAGAAATATGAACCGAATTAAAGATTCGCGAGCTGGTCTCATCTGTCATACTACAGTCAGAGCTAACATACTCCACACCCGCATACGCCTGTCCTTGAATTGTAAGTGCCTTCGTGTTCAGGAGCATAATCTTACACCTTATGGGTGCAAAGCGCATTCCAAGTAATGGGATGGTTTTCGTCGGCTCATCCAAAACTCCCTTTTTCTTTTTTTTCTTGAAAGACGGGAACAGTGTTGTCTACACATTCCAACTCGACACTGCTTTTGTCAGCAACTATTTGAACTATTCATTTCCTTGTTTCATCGATCACTAGAGTGAATAGAATTGGAGAGCAGACATCGTTGTTAGACATCGCTTTCTATCGGACAGCTTTTGGGGAGCTCTAATTTATTACGTCCGCAAGTCTGAGAATATGAAGAACCTACTGCATCTCCTGCTCGGCAAACGTGTTATGAATAACAGTCCGGTTAACAGAATCCAATGAACTTTGGAAATCCAGGACTACCTTGCTGAATTGCGTTCGAGACTGGCGCAAGCATTTCACCGAGATCGAAGCAGCGCCACTGTAGTCTGATATTCAGGGCTAAGTGAAGCTGACAGTACCATACCGCAGGCGAAACTCCAGGCATTATGCGAGGATGTGGTGATCTTTTTCTGGTGCGCGCTGACGTTCAACAGTGGAGTAGTTGCAGGAGATTCCAGAAGATTGTTCTGTAAATCCGTTTAACTTTCGCTTGCACGGTCTCGAAAAGCAGAGACAAGAGCGACTCTAGACGAGCTCACGATCTAAGTCCACACAGTTTTTCCAAAAAGAGCGACATTAAGTTTGTGCCGTCGGTAACCCTGACCAAGTGGTCATTGTGGCCTACTTTTGGGGAAGACTATGTAGGCAAACGATTTCGGTTATTCAGGAAAATAATTAGTCTTAAAAGTCTACGATCAGGGCAGCTGAATTCATCCACGATTCTACCTACGTACTGACCCCAATCTAATTGGACTGTCTGATTGAACCTCAGTCACTCCATGTCCGCCTTAGAGCGCTCTACAAATTCATTTTTGCGGAAACCATCTTCTAGCTCACCACCACGTGTCATTGAGTGCGTCATACAAAGCGGTTTTTGATGGTGTAGGAGATGCAATTTGTTGGGACGTAAGCAGACACGATGAGGAAGCAGCAGTTAACATCTGGTTTGCGTGACTTCTTTACACACGTTGCCATAACCGGTGAAGCGGAACAGCACTGCATGGCTTTTCTGGGCCTGTAGGTTACCAACAGTGTGTGATTGGGAACGAGGTTTAGTGATGCGACACAATTCAGCTATTACATTTACGTCCCGACTTGTTTCCGGCACGCTGCAAACAGTCAGACCTAGGTGATGTTTACTACTTAAAGCGGTAGTTGTCTTTCATTGGCGTTGAAGGTGTTACCTGTCTCCTACGACAACGCCAGGCACTGTACCGAAGTCCGTCGTTGGATGAAGTGCATTATGGGGAAATCGCTATAATATCTCGGAAGGAAAAAATTGGGGAAAAGAAGTAAGAAGTCACTCGCCTTTGGGGTGAAGGAAAACTTTAACGTGCAGTTATATCCTTGAGATCATTCATTTTCAGCTCTCCACCGTCACTTTAACCTGAATTGTCCTCTTCTATCCAGATATTCGAAAATTCAAAGTGTTGGTCGAGTTTTTTAATAAAGAGGAGCAATGTTTCGCCATCAAACATACTCAGGACGAAGCCAGTGAGTTTTTCTGCTGTAGTTATCTGCCTGTACGGATTCACCGTCGACTAGTATAACCAACTCTTTAATAATTTGTCTCCGTCCGTTTCGTACCACAGTGATCAAGACTTTCTTTATCGAGAAACGCTTCGATGGAAAACCTGTCTATTCGCTGCCTCCAGTAAGTTGCTTTTTAAAGCGAATCCAAGGCACACTGTTTTATTTGACATTTTGACGCGTAGGCTCTTCACCATACCATCGATTTGGTTACAATATTCTCCTTTTTTGAACTAGATCGATTTGTCCCAAGCTGTTCCCGCATCCACTGGTGGCACTACTGCACCCTCGCAGTCACTGATAGACAATGCAGAGGAAAAAGTGGGTTCTGAAAGTGACCGAAAACTGTCAACTGTCGTGTCTGCTGCACTAAATGAGCGTCATGCATCCACTGATCAGAAACCAGCTCCTGTCGAACCAGTGGATCGTCGTTCGGACGTTCAGATGTTGGAGGCTTTGAAGAGTCTCGCTGACGTGGAGGATGTGTTTATTTTTCCACCAATTTCACCGATCTTGCTGTACTTTTATTCCAGTCAGGTTGAAGCATGCTACCGGCGCTTAGGACTCATGCGACCCAAAGGCATGGCTATCAAAAAGCTCTCATGGTCCACACCTCGTATCGCACCTTTGATCAACGCGTCAGTCGCGTTTGTTCTATTCATCACCATTCTGATAAGTTGTTTTGTTGTTTTTCCTGACTCACGGATGGCAACACCATCTCCAGCTTTCTACATCACAGCGACCATTGCGCTGGTTCTACAGGGAATATTTGTTGCACTGCTGTTTGCGGACTTGGCCGCTTGGATTGGTGGTCGCCCACCACGAAAATCAGCAGTTTCTGGACCTGTATGTGACTGGCGTCGGTGTGTACTCCATACCTATTTCATCTGCTTCCGATGGCGCTTACGTAACTTTATTGGTGCTCTGTTCCTCGTTCTTCCTGCCTTGGTCATACTTTCTAATTTCAATGGGTCATTTTTCAATGATTTGGGAAACCTTCCTCTTCTCTTCGTCGCTCACTACCGCATCTTGTTTGGCATATTCTTTGCATTCATGCTATTTCACTTCACTTTGTTTAGTTCGTTTTCCTCTTGGACAAAATCATTGGCCGCTTGTATCGCGTGCACCGTGGCGATCATTCTGATTGCTCTACCCAAGAAACTCTTTATTCCTTCTCCAGTGGCTGCGTTCCATACCGTATGGAATTCAAATGAAACGACCTGGGACAACGGATTGTATCGGCCTTGGACACAACCAGCCCTTCATGCTGACTACGTGTGGGAGATTAGTGTTGTGCTTTTAGTGACATTTGCTTTGGTAGCCGCGCTGAATCGTGAGTTTGACATTAGCTTCCGCCTAAGTTTTCATCGTGACTTCCAGGCACTTGAGGCCAAGCAGGCCATTGCTCAGCAAAAGGTCCAAGCCGACTGGTTGTTGGAAAATATTATTCCGTACTACATAATGGATGATTTGCGGAGAAATAACAAGTATTCTAAGCACATTGTGGATGCAGGTGTAGTTTTTGCCACCATATCGAACTTCGCGGAGTTTTACGATGAACAGTATCAGGGTGGGCAAGAGATGCTTCGTGTTTTGAACGAGATATTCGCGGATTTCGAACATCAGCTCACCTCAGCGAAGTATAAAGATGTAGAGAAAATCAAGACAATCGGCGCATGTTTCATGGCTGCTTCCGGTCTGAATATGATCGAGCGTGGTCGGAATAAGAAGCCTGATGCTCATTTGTATGCGTTGATGGATTTTGCTATAGATGTGATCCACACGCTGGATGAATTCAACCGTCAAATGTTCAATTTCCAATTTGAAATGAAAGTGGGTTACAACGTTGGTGAAGTCACTGCTGGGGTGATTGGTACAACAAAGCTTCTCTATGATATATGGGGTGACACTGTCAACGTCGCGAGTAGGATGTATTCCACAGGTCAGAAGGGTCGGATTCAGGTTACCGAGGCTGTTGCGAAACGCTTAGAATCTCGATATGTGTTCGAATATCGTGGCGAAGTGTTTGTAAAGGGTAAGGGTGATATGAAGACATATCTGTTATGCCATCGTCGAACAGAGTGATTAAAATCTCTTTACCCCCCGCAGAAAAGTTCGTCCCATAGTACGCTATTATTTCGGGCCTATTACTGTGGTTGAACAAAAAATGTGAGAGATACTGTCTGTCATGATGGGTTGTGTTGAATTTTTACTTATTTTTGCCCTGTTCTGGAAATCGGACAGTTTCCATTGCTTTCTCTTCCAACCTCCACTCTACATCGTCTGTTAAGCGCATACATAACTTCGCTTTCATGTTGTCAGTTTGTTGACTCTAAGTAGTACGCTACACTCTACTATATTCGGATGAGACGATTCATTTGAACCAATCGGGTTGTTTGGCTATAGTTTGAGAGACCCTTTTGCTCCTTCGCATTTGCATTTCTTCTACTCTGTATTTTAAGAGGCCACACCACATAGTTGTTACATAAGTAATTTGTGTTTATTTTCGTTTATTTTTCTCTCTATTGCTCTCCAGAGCCAGTGCTGTCTCATTGTGTACGCGTTTTATCCTTTTTGCTTATTACTGCCCACTTAAGACTGCGATAAATTTTTCTGCCCTAACTTTGGTACCCACTCATCCAATCATCCATACATGCATAATTGAAAGGGAGGTCTTCATTTTCGTATGGTGTAGACAATGGGATTGGCTGCGAATGTTGTTCTGGGTGATTCATCGATGTGAGTTTCCAGATCTTTATAACAAACGCTCATAGTCATTGACGGTATGTCATCAGTGTTCAGCATCGTTTACCACACACATCGTTACCACACAGTTATTGTCCGAAAGCATTTTTGTGAAAAAAGTTGTGAAAGATGAGAAAGGATCCTAGTGATAGCTCACTGTAATTGTACCGGAATACATGCTCCAGGTACTCATTCATGCACCTGAGTAGAAACTTACAACAAGAACGCCAATAACATCGGTTCATAATCACACCTTGCAACCTCCTGCTAAGCAGAGGCATAATCAAGCGGATCCCATCCTTTAGGTTGGGTCACGTTAACAGTACTCAAACCTTCCGCTACCGTGTCTACACCAATCTGCGTGGTTGAAGGCGGACACTCTGCTTGCATCAGTATGAATTGAGCGCAGAAAACAGCACTCTTTTCAACAGTCAGTGATGCGCCGCGTGCAATACATGACCAGAACACCACAGCTTATGGTGCAGCCGAACAAACCAATCCTGATTTTTTTGCTGTCAAACTGACCTTACCCAGTGTCGTATTCTGGTATTTTCCCTAGTATGTTTCTTCTTAGCAGCACAGCAATACCTCCTTCGGGAAAAAGCCTTCGGATGCCGCAATTCGTTTTTCCAGCAGAATCTGACCTTCACAACGTATCGTAACCGGGATGTTTTATCTGACGGTTACTATTTATACTGAGTAATGTGGAATCGGATGGCCAACTGTGGATGTTGCACAAACCTTGATCAAACTACACACCTCGTTACCGAGAAAGAACAAGAAGAGTGATATGTGGATGGGTTGTAGGCATAGAAAAGTAATGCATAATCATAAGCTTTCAGGAGAAATTTCGTCCTTGAATTACATGGAGATTGCGAAATGAGAACTATTCGGCCGAGCAATTAAGCTGGTAGTGGAGCCTGGACAAAATCAGCATGTTTATGTTTGTGCTAGTTATAAAGCCATTCGGGGTCTTCTACGGTTAAAGGTGGTAGTTTGAATTAATTGGATGCGATGACATTCTCTCGATTTATAGTTCTTTCTCATTGATATGTGGATTCAAGAGTTGCGGGCCATTGTCGGAGCATGGTTGATGGAGCACATAAGACCAAGTTTCGATAGCATTTGCTCTTCTCAATGGTTGAGGCCGCTAACGAAAAAGGAGCCATTTGACGTTCACATAATTTATTTAACCAGTCTTACTCCTGTTAGGACGCAATAATTCTGCTGAGTCCACACCAAAGGGTGGACTTAATCAATGTGATTGGTTTGTCTCAAACTTCGAACGATGATCTGGAACTTTTCTGGCTGTGTCGGCCGATTAACCCGTCTGTCGTGAATTCCCAGTCAGGTGCCTGTTCGGATGTGATAACTCCGGTGCATCTAGCATGTGCACTTCAGGTGTGCGGCGTTGAAACTCCGGCATGGCCCAGGATATACACAACTGATTGTCTATAACAAGAGTGAAACCCAAGTTCATTACTTCCCCTTTTTTGGTGTGGACTCATTAGACGTATCGCGTTAGGAAGAAGACTGTCCAAACAAGGGTAATTTGGACGTGATTTAGCGCTTGGCTGTATTGGTGCTGAAAAAAGGGGCAAATGTGTTATGTAATTGCGTTTCAAATAGATTTTTGCACCTTTTTCTCCTAACTTCATGTAAAACTCTACTGTAGTGTTCATCCATCGAGGAAACTCTCGGGGAAGGGAATCCCAAACACCAGTAAAGTCCTCATGTGTGATTTTGATGAATGTTACTCTTGGGTAATTGTATTTTTGAACGAGGTGGTCACAACTCACTGTTGTCTGATGGAGGCTGGACCGAGCCATTTGGCATAAAGATGAAGTAACCTACCTGCGAGTATGCAAGTGTCCTTTCTGGTTGATATAAAAGCAACCAAGGCCGCCAGTTGCTCTGAGGTTCCTCAAACGAATGTGTGATCGTGCTATCCTCGAAATTATTTGAAATGTATTCAACAGGTCTTCCTTCAAGTGCACCTGTCATTCCGGTCTTGCGCGTTCAATTCTTGGTTGACGTTGATTACTACCTCTCCATGTTATCGGGGAACGATAGGTGCTCAATAATAGAGCAGGATGCTTATTTGCATGTCATGCTATGGCGCACCGTAGTGTTGATCACCATACTTTTCCATAATTCATTCAACATCGCTCCAGGTGACGGGCTGGTTGGAACTCCCAGCTAAGAGCAGAGCACAGCTGGGTTACTGAAGTCAAGTTACCCATGTATCTGCAGTCATTCTGAATTCCATACTCAGATAGCCTTTGGCATCACGAAAGCGTGAACAGTCCTCAAGCTCCAGGGTGAGTCGATGGTTGAGCAACCAATAACGCTAGAAGTATTGAGTAATTTACTGATATGGATGTTAGTGAAGGCCAACTGGTGTTAATTGCTGACACGAGTGTGCAACATTCAAAGGGTTTATAAAAGCCATTTTATATCATGCTTACTCCTTCAGCTGTATGCAGCATGGTGCCTGGGCACAACTACCAACCCATCGCTATGCACCACTACGCTCTAACAACGCACTGATGATGTCACCTCGATTGGTGATGAAACGTTTGCAATCAAATTGCCCAGCTCAGCGAACAAACCGACGACTGTGCTAACTAATATCCGCCATTCTGCAACAAATACACAAACACGACGGATGCGTGAAGGAGAGTTAACGCACGACTGCTTTAATAAACACGTTTTGTTTACTGGGGATCGTATGCCACTTTGTTGCGCTAGACAAAGTGCAGTTTTAAAGTGCACTATTGGGGAAATACCAAGTCAAGTTTATCACATGACTCGGCCAGTGTTTTTCACAAAGAAGCCCATTATTTTTTATTGTGTGGGTTAACTGCATATCTAAGATAATATCATAATGATGAGGGACGCGACTACTTAGATTAGTGAGCGCGAGCTTCTTGTGGTACCAATTGAGCTCAGCTTTCCATGAAACCCGACTATCTACTTTGCTAAATCGAACCAGTGCACCTCGTGCACTGTGATTGAATATCACCTATCTCTCATTCTCCCACGCGAAGCGATTGATTCGGATGCTGTTCGACCTTCAGATATCGGTTTTTCTCATGCACTTGTTTATTTAACCAAAGTTAAATTCCATTTGTCTCCACCAGTTTTCTATCCACGAACAATGCTCCCAACTCTCCTGCGATTCCTCCACTTCGGGACGGTTGTTATCTGTGGGATTTTTTTGCACACAACAGTCTCACCGTTTCAAGAGGATCTTAGTGTTCAGCAATGTTTTTCCAGAAATTATCAACAGCTCATGATTTTTCATGCTTACCCACTGCATATGCAATGAAATTGGCCTGCATTGCTCACGCAATAACCTTTTTCCAACTAGAAAAATTGTCACGGCTAGGTGTAGCAGTCATCTTTTGTTAACTTTGGAGACAAAAACTTATAAAATTAGAAAAGCCCAAGGGTCATTTCGCGCTGATTTAATTCTCCAGTTTTTGCGGGATGGTGAGGATCCATTCACACGAAAATGACAGCCTTGGGGGACTTTTAATTGCTTACAGTGAGTTACTCTGATTTGAAATAGTCTGGTTATTTTAGCGTGTTTGGAGCTGTTCCGATATATGATACAGCTCTATAGAGGCTTGTTCAGGTTTCCGGGTAAAAGCAATACGCGTTTGTTTTTGTCGCGTCAGAGTTGAGTTTGACATGCTCTGAAGTGACGCCGTAAAATTGTGCCTTTAACAATAGCTACTGGGAGCATAACAGTAGCTAAGGTTAAGAGGAAATTTATTGGGGGTCGCAATCTGCCAAGCCGAGACCTTTGAGCTTCCCATCGCGATTGTACATACGGTTTAGATTTGGAATAGTTATGACAGATAATGAGTGTTCCTCACATGACACTGTATCTTCGGAATTAGCGAAACGTCCGAAAAAGACTCCTTTGTCGATATCTGTGCTTTTCGTATCGGTCAGGCCTCGCTGCACATTTGCGGGCATGACTCAGGTCACAAAGTCAAAGGTATTTTTAAAATGGACCATGTCCTTTTGATTAGGATTTATCTATTACAACATAAGGGAGCTTTAAGCTGTATTTCTACATGGATCAGAATATCTGGATAGGTTGGAGTTTCCTGACAGATTTAGGGTTCGAGAGTTTGCAAATGATAAAATATCATATCGGTTGGAGTTAGATCAATAGGAAGGGTTTACAAGGTCGAAGGATTCACTAATTTGTCTGTTATGAATGAAGGAACAAACAAATTTGCCGAGAGGATGAAGGGTGAAAGCTTCAGTTGTTTTTGTTGAAACGGTCGTGGTGGAGAGCTGCTCTGCACATTGGATAAACTGATTGAACAAGATTCCAATAATGTCCCATAGTTCACTATTAATTTATCCTGAATCGAGTACAAGAAGAGATTATCCGGATGGTGAGCACCGATGGCAAAATCTAGGATGAGTTCAGTTACGTATTTTCGTCGGATTTGGGTGGCATATAGTGGCGCGTTCTTGTACAACTACCTATGGAAGGGATGAAAAAGGCGAAGCCGAATCAGTTGACTCTGCAAGCACACGTGCAACAAGAAACTGCAGAACCCAGCTAGGCTTTGGAATATTCTTCTGCCAGAATTGGCCTAGATTATGGCCATGTGGTTCAGCGGTCTCATCGACTCATAGTTGGCCACAGAAATGCCACCGGATTCTGAAACAGACGTAGGAATCTCGTCACCACTCACTGTGGACTCTCCAAGTGAGTGACACTGGGACACTTAAAACTGGTAAACACTAATGGAATGTTAGTTCAAGGTGGATTGGTGAATCAGCGGGTGTTGTGAAGCAATGGGTTTTGACTTTTTGAATGCCTTGTTTTCCAGGGTAATTTGGGAAGGTGTGACAAAAATGAGAGTGGACACCCTGATTTATTTTCGGAGGTTGGATT